AGAACCCCGCCACCTTTTATTATTGGGGAGCCAGTACCCTCGAGGGTTGGTCGCGCTATTTAATATTTTGATCGAAGAGAAGTCTGCGTTTCGTTCGGCGAGCAGTAGGAGTTATCCACGTGCTCACGATCGTTCCCTTTTGATTAATTTCGGTACGGATCGATTGGTACGAACATGGATGCTCAACAAAGGAAAACTTCGAGAAAAACTTCGTCGAGAGGGGGAATTAGAACGAGGAAGACAGAGAGAGAGAAAAAGAAAAAAATAGGAACAGCTGGCACTGAGACGAATACAATACAAGTTTGATACAAGGAGTAAATCACCCTTCGTCTATTCTAATCAACACACGGCGTGTACGCGTACGTGCGTCCTCTTTGCGATTATCCTCCTATATTATATAATCACATACCACTTTCAATTCAAGAAAAGAATATCATTAACGACGCTTCGTTTTCAATAAAATATACTTATATATTGTGGCGTGGATGATTCAAATTATTGTAAAATTTCACGTTTGACTTATTGTCAGATATAATTGTTTACATCAATTATTAAATTTTGTCATTTTTATTTTTTGATGATACAAGAAAAAGAAAGAAATATATAAAAAAATTATTATTCATTACAATAATTAATATAAAGAATAATTTCTTTTTTATACGAAAAAAATTATAAATATTGATTTTATTATATAAAAGTTATGATTTCAAAAAGTTAAAAATTTTCTATTTTTGATTCTTTTTATAATTTTCTATTTTTGATTCTTTTTATTTAGATATAAATCTAATTATTATTATTTAGATATAAAATTAAGTTATAATTATGCAAAATTAGAATAAAATATTTTCATTTACGAATCTTGTGATAATATTTTCAGAACTTTTTCGTGAATTTATTATAATTGAATAAATAAATAGCAATACATAATTCTAAATATGATTCACTATATCAATTTTCAAATCTCAATGTAATAATCATTTTCATTTATAAAACAAAAACAGATTAATTATAAAGTTCTATATTCTTATCTTTTTTTATTGTAAATAAAAATAACGACAGAACTTTCTTGATTATCTGATATTTTTAATGCTGATGTATTTTTTGAAAAGAATAAAAAAGAAATTGTATATTTTTCAAGTATTTTTAAAATTATTCAAATTATATTTTTAAATATATATAATTTAATATAATTTAATATAATTAAATTAAATCTTATATAATGAAATTAATAAAAAAAAAAATTATTTATTAAAACAACTATGTACCAATTTTGCATGTACATATCTTGAATGTACATATATATTCAATAAAATCTTTATTCAATTAAAAATCTTTATGTATCTTCATAAAATTTCAACTAATAAAATATTATCATATATAATAACATTTTATGTAAAACATTATGTGAGTATATAAATCATAATGAAGTAATTTTTTTATTAATAAAATATCATTTCGAGAAAGTGAATTTAATTCTTAAAATATTAATATTATTTTAATTTCTTTAAATATAATAATTTTGTAATAGTACAAAATAAAATAAAATTTTAAACTAAAATAAAACTATAAAACTAAAATAATATAAACTAATAAACTAAAAAACTAAAATAAAATAATATAATATAAAATAATAGATTTTAGTACTCTATTATTTTATTGTAAAAAATATTTCAGACGAAATTTATAAAATATGAAAAAATGAATGAAAATTTTTATTTGAAATTGATTTCACACTTTCACAGAAATTTTCTATCGAAAAATAAATTGCTCTATATGTAATCCATTATATTCTATAGATATACTTTTCTATTAAAATTCAGATTTTTCAAGATAAATAAATTTTCCTGTAAATAATAAATGAAATAACTGATTATAGATAGGTATTATTTAATTTTCCTTTACTGGTTAAATTTATTGAAAATCATTTTAATTATAAATTAAAATTGTAAATTGTAAATTAAAATTGTAAATTAATTGTAAATAAAAAAAAATTGTAATAATGACTTACCAGAAATAACATAAAAATTATTAGAATTATTTCACATTGCTTTTATTATATATATTTTTACATAGAAATTTTCAGATAAATATTGACTATTTCGGTATTTACAATTCCGCTAAAATATCAGATAAATGAAAAGAAAAGCAGGACTTGAAGAAATTTAAATCATAATTTGGAAGCAATAAAAGAAAACAACTCTTTGATAGAGGAGACCTGCAGCTGCTGTCTCTAATGTTGTTACTACTGGTGTAACTGCAACAGTAACTTCAAACCACAAACGGTATAGCTCATGAATCCTTAATAAAGAAATTAATTAATAAAGAATTGCTTTATCAGCTGTACATCAGTACACAGTATTATAAACACAAACATTACTGTGTCGGCTTTCATTAACAAATACACGCATTTAATATTATTTTAAATATAGATATTTTTCTTCTTTATTTTTTTATTTTAATTTTCAATTTATATAACAAATTATAATCCAATAATAAATGTGTAAAATAATTTATTTATGTGTAATTAATTTAATATAAAATACAATAGATAAGTACAATAGGATATCTTAGATGCTAAATTTAAAAAAAAATAAACAAAATATGAATATATATATAAGTTGTTTAATGCTTTATTAAAAAATTAACAAAAAAATTAATTAAAAAAATTAAAAAATTAAAAAATAAACAATATACGAAAATATTCGAAATTCGAACAGTTAATAATATATATATGTTTAATAATATATATATTATTATTTATTTTATTCTATTTACTATTATTATTATTATTATTATTGATTTTATATGAATTATTTATTATAATTATTAAATTAATATTAATTTTTATTTTATATTAATAATATTAATTATTATTTATACTAATTTTAATATAATATTAAATATAATTTTAAATATAATACTAAATACTATTTATCTATATTTCATCATTATATCGCATTATTTAACTGCATAATCTGTTATTGTTTTCTTCTTATATTAATACATTTAAAAAAATGCAATTCAAAATAAATTCAAAAAGCATTTATTATTTACTATCTTAAATTCTTATTATTATAAATTATAAATTCTTAAGATCTTATTGAAATTTAAAAAAAAATTAATGAGATAATTGAGAAGTAAAAAGAAAGAAAATAATCTATTATATATTACAATAAAACTAAAATTAACAAAAATTTCATATTTCATTATTTAAAATGAACATTCATTTATTCTTATACTATTCCTATTCTATTCTATTTTATTTTATTTTAAAAAAATTTATACTTTATTTACTTCAAGTTGATAAAAATTATTGGAGAATTATAAAACATTTGGATTGTATTTTTTAACTTTTTAATATTATGTCAGTATTTTTTAAATTGATATTATTACATAAATTATATTTGAGTTTACTATAATATCTATTATGAAAATGAATCTTAAAATAATTTTATTGAACAAAAAGAAATTAATTATATATGAATAAAAATTATTAAATATTTAAAAAATATTTATTTTATAATTTTTTTTACAAATTTACGAATAAAAATGTAGAAAAATGTAACTATATCTTTTAATATTTAATTGAAATTATATTCTATTAATTTTTTTTATGAAATTATATATATATATTAATTTTATATTATTATATTAATTTAATATTATATTTTATTAATATTAATTGTTTTCAAATTTTTAATAAATCCTATTTAAAAATTACTAAATAATAATTTGGTTTAATTTTTTACATTATGAAAAAAATTTTTTAAATTGAAAATATCTATTCATTTATTTATTATTTAATTATTTAATTATATAATAATATATAAAAAAAACTATTTATTAAATTAATAGTCTTAATAAAACAGTTAAAACATAATAAAAGTATAATAAATTATACTGAAAATATAATCAACTATTTACTGATCTATATAAGATATAATTTAGATGCAATTTCTATATATATTCTGTTTACGATAATAAGGTGTTTTTATGTATCTTATTTATAATTTTATAGCAAAATTTGATTTCAATTTCAATAATTATCACATATATACTATTTTTTATAATGTGACACAAAATTGATAAGAGATCAAATAATTCTCAAAATTTTGACAAGAAAAAATATTGTGTGTCGTGTTTCATATCTTATCTATCTTACTAATGTGATGACGCAAATTCTGCTATCAATAGGCTCCTTTTCGTAGAGTTTTCTAGTGACTAAAAGCTACGTATGGATAGTTTTTTTCCCGCTATATTATAGGAATAGGGCGGTTCTTATGGGTATGTGTATACTACTATAACTACGTTCATGATATTTTGCCCCTCTTTTTTTTTCCTTTCTTCTTTCTCCAATGTCTGCTCCCTTTCTTTACTGCAGCTGCTCAGCACACAGGCCCCACGCCATCTGCCATTACAGACTATACATGCACAAGCGCCTCTAACAAGACCCCAAGATCCATAATGGTTTTGCATCATACCGGGTGTGTCAAAATTTTGAGATTTAAATGCAATTAATCCTATATTGTTTTATTAACATAACATCATCATTAAGATATCTTCTTTTTTAATTATCAATTTTTAATTTTCAACTATCAAAAATATAAATTTTCTTCTATACCTTTTAATTATTTATTTTTTAAATATTAAAATCTTATCAAACACAGAATAAATGCATTTATTATAAAATTGAATTAAATTATAATGAAATGATAATTAAATATTTTTTAAAGATTTCTTTTTTATTTTTTCGTTGTCTCAAAATATTTTAAAATGTTTTTTAAATTTAAAATTTACAAGTATTTTTTAATACTAATTACTAAAATTTTATTTTTTAAATAGCAAAAAGTAATTTTTTTTTTTTTTTGATATGATGAAAATATTCATGCCATACAAAAAATTATTATTTTCTGTATTATTATGATAAATATTATTTGTCATAAATTTATTTATTTTTATTTGGCTTTAATAAATGTGTAAAGTTGTCTTTAGTATATTTCTGTGCCTACATTTCTGAAATTATTGTATTTAATTTGTTACAATATGATATTATAATAAAATGCTTATTCCTATATACTCTTCCTATATTTGTCTTATGTTAGTCTTTATATAATGAATGCAATATTTACCCAAATTATTTTCATATTTTCTACGTTGCATTTAATAATGCTTTGCGCTCATCATTAATATTCCCTTCAAAGTATCGTGACTAACAAGTAAAGAAACAAAATTATTTACGGCTTATATTGTCCTCAGAATATAAGATATTATATTCATAAGATTTTGAGAAACAATTCTAAATTAAATTTTCTTAATTTTCAAAACGCACAAATTGACATAAAAAATATATCGATTAAATTTATTTATTAAATTATGCAACTGCAATTTGTATTAAATGAATCAAGATGAATATAGAATAAAACATAGTGATAGAGATAGAATGTATTTCATCTAATTTTGTAAACATTAATTGCTTATAATTTAATAAATAATTTTTGATTGATATTTGATATTGATATATCAACTTTTGTATTTGTTTTGGTATTTTTTAAAAATGTTCTACAAGTATAATTAACATTTTATATACATGTATGTGTATCAATAAACGATAACTATCAAATATAATATAATTAGAATTCTTTTTAATAAATTTTTATTTTTCAACAAACAATGCTATTAATATTACTATAAAAATGTAACTGTTCAAAATTAAATTAAAAAATAGGATACATATTTAAATAAGTAATAATATTTTTATTAAATCAAATGATTGGAAAATATTAAAAAAAATTCATTTTTGTACATCTAACTTATAATAAATATGTATATCCATTCATGTTAACTACTTTAATGCTTTTATAGCAGTTCGAATTATGACAATTGAAAATCGTATTCATTAACATCATTTTTACATGACGTGTTTCAGTTATAATTTTGCGACGGGAGTTGCAGAAAAATTATCATAAAGGACAATGAGTATAAAAAAAAAACGGGAAGGGAGTGAATTGAGACACAGCTGGCACACGACATGAGGTTTGCAACAATAGCTGGATCACTGATCCCCATTCAGAAGTTCGATGCGTTGCTCTTGGCATTTTCAAAAAAGTTATTTTGTATAATCTTCTCCCTTTCAAATATTTAATTGCATAAAATGTAGAATTTTTGTCTATTAATTAACATATATTTAACATATAATTAAGTTTTATAGAATATTTTTCGACATTAATTTAAATATATTAATTAATTTATATTGTTTTTATAAAAAAAATAAAACATAAGAAAATAAATATATATAAATGATATATATTTAATATATAAATTATATATATATATATATATTTATATTTATATTATAACAATATA